GCCGGTAGTGCATGTTGTGGTGAAGTAGTGGCTGTGGTCCAGTAGTGCTGTGGTATGGGTTCTTCTTGCTATCCTCCATCTGTCCTGTTCCTGCTGGATGAAAGATTTTACGGCATTGTTCCCAAACCTGAGCACAGCTTTTCTGCCAGCCAATCAGCTTTCTGATTGCTTATTGAGCCAATGCCCATAGCTTTCAGTTTCTATTCCTGCCATAGAAGCTTCATACATCTTTCTTTCCTTTAATACATTGCATGATAGAAAAACACCCCTTATCTTGAAATCATCATGTCAACTCCTTCTCAGTATTTAATGTTTCAGATGTCATGAACTAAGCCATAAATGCTTTTATCACAATTACTCTCCATTGACCCATTTACGGTCGTAATGACTCCATGCCTGGCCTGTCATTTCATCCTCTTGGCCATTTCTGCTCTCTCTGTCTTTTTCGCTGTGTTTTCACCCCTCCCCTCTCAGCCGCCACAGTTCCAGAGCAGAAAACAGTCACCTTGGATGTCGATGTGAACAATCGTAGTGATCGGACAGAATGGTGCAGCTGCTATTACCATGGCAACTTCTCCCTTAATGCTGCCTTTGAAATCAAGCTGCACTGGATGGCCGTCACTGCAGCCGTGCTCTTTGAAATGGTGAGCGTGGGATGAACATATTACCATTTAGAGATAATATTAGGAGGTGCTTGCATTGTTATGCATTGTTGCACAGTAAGTACATGGGTACAGTTCTTATGCATTCTTGTGTTTTAGGTGCAAGGCTGGCACAGGAAGGCAGCATCTTGCGGATTCCTGCTTGTCCCTGTGTTGGAGGTGCCCTTTGCTTTGTCGTCATACCTATATGGCGACCCACTCCGTGCTCAGTTGTTTATTCCCCTAAATATCCAGTGCCTGCTAAAGGAGGGCTCTGATAACCTTTTTGAGGGTGAGGACACAAGAAGTAATTGTGCAGTTGTTGTAGTCCAAGGGACAGATTCACTTGCAGCAATTTAACCTATTGTTTTTTTTCTTTAAAGCATTGTTTGACTTTCCTTTTCTGATCCTAGTTTATGGGAGAAGAATATTTAAATGCAGTATGATTTACAAGAGATTTGCCAGATTCAGTTTACTGGCATTTTTTTAAATTATTTAATGCCCAAAAAAGCATGTCTGAAAACATGCACATTTCTCAGATTATTGTGAGCTAAGTTTTACATTAGTATATTTATTAGATCAGGGGTTCCCAACCTTTTCAACCCGTGACACCTAAAATAGCAATGCCAGTGACTTGCAACCCCAAATTTCTCAGAGGTGGTTATAAATATACAAAAGTTGCGCACACATCAATAGGCCAATAAAAACATGAACATAGTGCTAACACAAAACATGTGCAACAGTCTAACAACCATTTCAATTTCATAGTCAATTACTAATTTGCTTAATTTAATATTAACCTCAGCTAAAGAGACTGGTGGACACAATGTTTTCAGCACAGGTCTATTATTGGTTTTATTTTGGAGACCCCCAATCAGAGATCATTCTCAATGTTCAATTGTGGCCTGTGTTTATTTTTCATGTATTTGATTGCCATTAAGGTGTGAGAAAGTTAAACCTGGTGCTAAAACATTACTATGACGCTATTGCTGTGTTGTTAGTCTAATGGAAACACATCCATCTTATGACAAAAAGAATTTAAAAGGCTGATGGCTTTTCATTTGTTTGTTGTTGTTATATTTTGTTAAATTGTGGTAATTCTAATACTTTAATACAATTATTTGACTTTTGTAAATCACCAAGCGACCCCCTGTCATTGTCCCACGACCTCCACTTTGGGAACCACGGTATTAGATCATTGTTTAGAAATCTGGCCTCAAAATTGTCTCTGTTTGGTGCTAGCTAGGACTGTGGTTCTTTAAATAAAATATGTAATTTCCAAATAATGGGTAAAATAGATTTCACATCAGTTTTAAATGACTTTACATATAGACAATATTTCTTAGTCAACAATATCTCAGATTGGTTTTCACATATTTGTTCAGATCTGATGGGATTGCTAATTATGTTATCTTCCATGACACCATTGCTGTTTTTTTCATTTAGGTTTTGAGCCAGAGACATACTGGGACAGAATGCAATTGTTTCAGGAGGCCATACTGACTAGGTAAGTGAAGCATATGCTGCGTCCCAATTCGCATACTTATACTACACCCTAAAAGTAGTTATTTTCTTGTGAAAGAAATTTATATACTTTTGAGTGTATAACAGAAGAGTGTGCAAGCTTTGGGACATACTACTTCCTTGTTAAAAGATCGGGAGGTGAGGTGATCGCGGTTGAAAGTGAAGGGTAGGGCGGGGGTGGGGGGGTTTGTGAATAAAAAGAGCAGGGGTGGCGTGGGGTGTTGGTGATCACTGATGAAAGTGAAGAGCGAGGGGGGGTGGTTGCGCGGGCCCTTGATAACTTTTCTGGGGGCCCCCTAAATGTATGGGCCCTTAGAATCGTCCTAAACCCTCATTTCAAAAGAGTGCTCCCCTGTACTAACATGGCAGCTCTATAGATGCATTCATTCCAATAGACAACAATAGCGTAGGCGACATATAATGTAAATATCTATGCCTGCAGAGTTCAGCGCCAGCCCTGATTAAATACACCTGAACTAATTAATTAAGACCTGAACAGCACTGGATAATTACAGGCAGGTGTGTTTGATATGGGTTTCAACTGAAATCTGCAGAAAGGGAGATCTCCAGGAACAGAGTTGGTGACCCCTGGTGTATTCTGTTGCTCTGACTGAGGGTTGGTCATCTCAGTAAACTTAAGGACATCTAGTTAAATCTAGTTCATCAAGAAATAATGCGTTCTTCTTTCTTCCTTTGAAGATTTGGCTTTGTTCAAGACAAGTTCTCAGCGTCAGCTTTTAACTTTCCATCAGAGAACAAACCTCAGTACATCCATGTAACAGGTACTTTTTAGACACACCATAAAGGAAATCTTTCTTTTTACTTTATCCTGTCTGCTGCTGTTTAAATCACTGCCATACAAGAATGTTCATCTCCTTCTCCAGGTACAGTATTTCTTCAGCTGCCTTACTCTAAAAGGAAGTACAGTAGTGGACAGAGGCGACGCCGTAACTCCACCACCTCCACCAATCAGAGCCTGTTTGGTTCTGAGGAGCGAGTGGGCTACAACTGGGCCTACAACACCATGCTAACCAAAGCCTGGAGGACTGGTGTGTTAGGAGATGAGAAACTGGCCGACCGCCTGCTTCGAGATTTCACAGACTTTTGTGCCAACAAGGATAATCGTCTGGTGACCTTCTGGGAAAGCTGTGTGGAGAAAATGAACGCGAGTGCCCCTTGAGAAAAGAGACAGGAGGAGAGGCGGTTTACAATGTGTCAGAGAAAGCTGAGAGTTTGCTTCTGCTGTAAGAGCTAACCTTAATGTACTGCTGCTATCATCTGATCATAGAGAAATAAAACACAGCCTCATCGTCAAACACTCGAATGGATGAGTCATATGTTTTCAGAGTATTGACACATACGCATGCAGTGCTTTTTGTCCTGACGCCATCACAGCTTTGATTAGGTTTGCTTGAATTAGGCGAATCATTTTCTCATTTGACCAGTAATGATAACTGAGTCAAAGATTGGGTTTTATCAGCCAATAACAATATAGCCATTGGTGCATTATGCATTCTTAACTTAATGGCCATTGTGTGTTTGGATGGTTTTCAATGGATGTTTTTATAGAAATGTATATAAATTGTTTAAATGTTTTCAAAATGTTATGTTGAGTTTAGATATAATCTGCAATCACTTTCAAATGAAAACTTAAGTTTTTTGCTGGCTGATCAGTGTTTGTCTTGATTCTTACTGGCCTGGTAAACTGAGCAAGCAACAGTAACCAATGTTAGAGTAGAAATTGACCTTTTTTTTTTTAAAAGGCACATTAGTTCCTGTCAATTTTTCCTTCAACTATCTTTTCCTTTGGGGATTGTAAAAAAAAAATCACCAGAGGAATCATTTCACAGTTCCTAGAACTGTTGGCAAAATATCTATTTTGGCATGTTCACATTACAGGAGCTGGGAACAATTCCAAATCTAGGTACACAATTTAGGGGAACAAAATTAGCTCCCATACTTTGTTATATAAATATAATATTTACCTTAAATCAACTGTTATATTAAAAAAAAAAAAAAACTTGGCATGGTTGATGTATATAGGGGCAGCAGTGGCCTAATCGTTAGAGTTGGAGTTATGATCCAGAGGTCGCAGGTTCAGCTCTGGCAGGGTTTGTAGGAGGGGGTAGAGAATAACCTGCACTCTTCTCCAACATCAGTAACATGGCTGAGGTGATTGCCTTCAACAGGGCACCAAATTGCTCCCTGGCCAACCAACTGCTCTTCGTGTGTGTTCACAGGTGTGCCGTATGCATCACATCTGCTAAATGCTTAAATGTAAATGTACTTGCATACGCTTGGCCCCATGTTGTATGATTTTAAATACATTGAATTAAGAGCAATTGTGTTGGCAAGGTGTTATTTTCAAGGTTAAGTCAGGCTCATATGTACACAGATTGGTAGTAAAATTAAACATCACATTATGCCCAAGGTCATATTGAGCACGTTAAGCCCCACTGTTACATTGCAGTAACTGCATGTCTTTGGCAGAAGCACTGCAACATAAATAAGAGCTCGACCTCTGTTAACCTAGTCAACACTTGTCGCACATCAGTCCACGCATGTTGTCTTGACAATCAGTGTTAAGGGAAGCATTTCCATGCATCCATTATCCTCCACCGTCAGTCTTGAGCAGACAGAAAAGAAGCATCGCTTCATTTGAATGCGGAAGAGCTTCTTATCGCGCGCACGCGCCTTCCGCCGCTGCATTGAACAATGCAGCAAACCTCACTGCGCAGGTGCGCGGCTGCAGGGCATGTGGCTATTTTTAGAAAATGACGTCATCGTAAAATAGAGCGAGTGCGCGCACCCCCCCTCCACCTCCCCCTCCACCCTGTTCGCTGGGATTGACAGGACGCTTGCAGCAGCAGTACCTCTCAAGACGAAGGAAAAAATATATCCGGCGAAACTCGTAGGACTTTGAGGGCTGGGAGGGGAAAAAGCGTTACGAATACATTTCAGACATAACAAAAAGACATTAATCTGCAACTCCAACCTTTGGCTCGCCGTTCCTCCCTCACGTGCGCGGCTGCTCCAGATTCTGCTCGCGCCTGTGCTAACCGGAGCGCGCGCCCGCTTTCGCTCACACAAACCAGTGTGATCCGCTGAAAAAGACCGAACTCCGGTGCGAACCGACAGCGTTTGACCAGAGAGCATGGCTGACCGGGAACAACTGATCCAAAGAGCCCGTCTGGCGGAGCAGGCGGAGCGCTATGATGATATGGCCTCCGCGATGAAGCTGGTGGGTCATTATTATTAATATACATGCACAAACAGTTCATGGCGTGGCGATTTCAATATAATGCAGAAACAGTGACGTTTTTTGGTTTGACTGATTAATTGTAGTAATAAAGGTGCATTTCTAGTTTATGCAGTTGAAGCTCTCGCCTTTGTCACCACCAGGACCTCTTTGTTATATAAAATATGCTGTTTTAAAAGGACAGTTCGCCCTAAATGGAAATCTGTCATAATATATTCAACTTCAAACCAGTATAGCTCATTTTGCTTCCTGGAAGCACAAAGGGAGATGTTTAGCAGAATGACAGACTCGGTCTTCATTCACTTTCATTGTATGGAAAGCAGATGCAGTGGAAGTGAAGTGTGACTGAGGCTGTCAGTAACTAACACAAATATTCTGCCCGACATCTCTCCCTTTATGTTTTGTGTATATAACGTTATATAAAGGAAAAACAGGTAATGCGGGTTTGGAGCGACACGAGACTCGGAAGACAAGTCTAAATTTAGGTAAATTGTTAATTTACTTTAAGGACAATAATATATAAAAATAAATGCGCATTTATAAATAAATATGTATAATAAAAATTAAGAAACTATAAAACGGGACGATTGAAGCTACGTAAGGTTTACAATTGTAGGTTTCGGTTCAGTATCGGGCATTTCAGTGGTTACAGTGGATGAACAAGGGCGGCGCTGTGACTCCCTCATCCACATCATCCATTGTGCGTCCGTGTCAATGCGAAAATACAATCTAAACCCAAATTACAGTGATGCTTATAATTATAAACACAATTACCTAGGCAAAATAATCTTAATTTGTCTCAACATTATTGTTTTAACTGCAGTTAAATGAAATTAAGCGCAATGTGTGTGACCCAGCAGTGCAGCATCCGCTGTCTGGTTTGACATCCGAGCACAAAGGATGAAAGTCAGTCAATCAGGCGGCAGCTAGTGCGGGTCAAACAGGACACCGCTCATTTCTTCTTTACTATCTCGTTTTGGACATTATATTGAATAATGTAAGCAAAACTACTATGGTCACCTGTTTTAATTAGATACTGTCGTTATTACTACTTTGATTGTTTGACATTGGCGTATGTTCAATGTAGTGCTCCCCCTTAGAAAATTACTGGTGGTTTTGCTACAAAAGCAAAGCCATTGTACCATGATATCAACAATTTAACCATCTTTTTTGTCACACTAACCATTCTTCAACTGTGCATATACACATGTCATTGGACAGAATTCTTTGCAATACCTTATGCAGTTATCATAAGTTACATGATGGTCCTGTGAAATATTGTTATTCGAAATGTTTCATATTAGTGGCTTTGCTGATCACAATTATTTTTTCTATTATAAGTCTATTTTGAATTTTTCATGAAATATTTTCAAAGGTTTATACATGTCCCATATGTGATTGATTGAACAGGAAGCTCGTGTGTTTTTTTCCATGAAGTTAATAAAAGTTTGCATATCACCATTATTTCTCAATTTGAAACTAATAGGGTATTGCAAACACAAAGCATTTTAATTCATGCACTGACCCATCATCTGGCCTTCTGCACCATCAGGTCACAGAGTTGAATGAGCCCCTGTCCAACGAAGACCGCAATTTGCTCTCAGTGGCCTACAAGAATGTGGTGGGGGCTCGGCGGTCCTCTTGGCGCGTAATATCCAGCATTGAGCAGAAGACGGCGGCGGACGGCAACGAGAAGAAGCTGGAGCTTGTGCGTGTCTACCGAGAGACGGTGGAGAAGGAGCTGGAGTCAGTGTGCCAAGATGTCCTAACCCTGCTGGACCAGTACCTCATCAAGAACTGTGACGAAACCCAGGTGGAGAGCAAGGTCTTCTACTTGAAGATGAAGGGTGACTACTATCGGTACCTGGCCGAGGTGGCCACTGGTGAAAAGAGGGCCTCTGCTGTCGAATCATCTGAAGGGGCTTACAAAGAGGCTTTCGATATTAGCAAGGGCATGCCTGCCACCCATCCTATTCGCCTGGGCCTGGCACTCAACTTTTCCGTCTTCTACTACGAGATCCAAAATGCACCCGAACAGGCCTGCCAGCTCGCCAAGGAAGCCTTCGATGATGCTATCGGCCACCTGGACAATCTGAACGAAGACTCCTATAAGGACTCCACGCTCATCATGCAGCTGCTGCGGGACAACCTCACCCTGTGGACCAGCGACCAGCAGGACAGCGAAGGAGGGGATGCGAATAACTGAAGGATCAGCCGTGACCGCTCTTACTTCTTGCTGTAGCAGCACCCGTCTGTCTTCTTCAGTCTTTTTTCTCTCTGTCTGCTCCTTCATCCTCTCTCCCTCTCTTTCTCCATTCCATCTTTCCTGTCTCTTTGTGGCGCCTCAATGCTCTTCTTTGGTTCCTCAGGGCAGCACTTCACACTGACTTTTGATTGCTCTCACAATCCTTTTACCCCCTTTTCCACCAACAGGATGTCGGTACTTGGAACTGTTGAGGATAAAATATTTTATCACAGGATAAAATAGAAAGAAAAAAGAAAATTGTTACATTTTTACTTCACAATTCGGACAGTTTTTTGGCCATTTTGCTTGCAAAAGTCAGAATTGTAAGATATAAACTTTAAAAAAAATTCAATCTGATATTATATCTTAAAATTCTATTGCTTAAAATTGCAAAATACAAAGATGCAATCCTGAAACAGGAGTGAAATATCATTTTAGACCCAGATTTGTGAGAAGAAAAGATGAAATTCAAAGAGTTTACATTTAAAGTTCAAACTCTTTTCTCAGAATTACAGGTTTGTCTTTTGCGAATTTGACTTGCAGTGAAAAAAAGAACTGCAGAAAGTTGAACATTTCTAAAATATTACTTTGCATGTTTGATTTAAAATATTTAAAAAAGGATTTGGCAACACGCATTATTAAAAAAACAATAAAATGACTTTAAATATTCACGTGTAAACTTGCTGCATTTAAAAGCATATGACCGCAAACTACGATCCATTATATATTACACATGATGCACACTGACTTTGAATGCTAATATATTCACAAGACACATAAGAAAACACATTAAAGCCTCATGTTATTTGTCAGTCATCAGTGATGTCATTGTTCGACCCTCATTCGAATTCTGATACAATTCTGTGAAGAAGGGGTGTTTATATATCCTCAATTGTTCTGTTTTCCCTCTCTCCCCCTGTCCCTGACTTCGGTTTCTGTATACGATTCTCTTCTTTCTCCCTGCGACGAGTTGCTGATAGCCTGCTGGTCTCCACGTGACATTTATTTAGTGTGTTTTTGTTAAGGACTCGATCTTCGTAGAATCGCTGTAACACCTATTACAGGATGAGATCTTGAGAACATGGCACAGTATAGTGCTAATGCTACACCTTATTACGTTGTTCTTCTTCTTCACTTGTCTTTGATCTGTACCTCCATCACTGCTTAGATGTGTTTGTCGTTCCCCAAAGCTCACCTTGTACACCTTGCTAGCCCTGTGAATTGTGTACATCTGCTGATCTCACAACAGTTCGTCGCCATGTGAAATGTGGGCGACTCTCTTTTGTGAGACTCAGAGATCAAGAGTCTTTTGATTAGGATTACATATGCAAGGTTATGAAAGAATGACATTAAAGACATTGCTTACCATGGGAACTGTCAAAATGAAGTCTATCTCTGGCCTTTCTTATGGTTGCACACACTGATTTTCTTCACACCGGTTTAAACACTTTCATGGGTTGAGATAGATGCATTTCTAAAGCATTTGCTTGTCAAGTTGAAATTATTGTATGATTTGGCAAATTAGTGGCAAATTCATACAGTTTAGTGCATATATTTGCTAATGCACAACTGAGGTTTAGGGCCAATGATGAGGTCATATTAGCCACATTTAAGCAATTAAATTTAACATATTTTACATGCAGATTATGCTATACCAACACATGTATTTGAATTCTTCTGAGGTTAGGGTTAGGGATTAGGTAGGTTAGGACGTCATCTTGTGTCATCGAAATGTTCTATGGCAAAAAAGCTAAAATGAAAGAGACAGAAAATTCAAAATATTCCCATATGGCTTCCATTATACATGTATGTATATGTATGTATGTATATATATATATATTTTTTTTTTTTTTTTGTAATAGCTGAAACATACTTTAAAACTGAATTTTCGGTAAATTACATGCAGACACCTTTTAAGACCAGCCAACCTAGATTTCTTTTCTAGAAAAGTTATGGGTATTTACGGTTATGGCTATTATAAAAATACACCTACTTATAGGTTTGAAATTCCACATAATATGACCAACAAAAGGATATTTTAGCAAATATGTATATTTTTGTCAACTGTTCTACCTGTTTGGCGCGCATGCGCGTGACGTCTGTCGTTTATGAGCTTTTAGGTTTTCCGAAAACACAAACAGCTCAGCTCGCAATATGAAAGCTCACGGTCTCCCTGATAGCAAAATGTAAATCTTTTCAAGAAGACCTTCAAACATTTATAGATGGAGGACCTATCTGTGAAATGTAAGTTATACACTGAGGAAAACATCACACCTCAAACACATCAAAGTCAAACAGGATCAGACGGTACAGGTGGGATGGTCTGGTGTGTCATGACAAATCGAGTCAAAGAAGCAAACCGAATGCGCGAATAATTGGAATGACTTCCTGTTAAACTGTAAACAATCAGTGATGTGTTTTTAAAAATTGGGTACAGAGAGGGAGGTGTCATTATCACAGTTCGCCCCGCGGATATTTAAAGACAACTTTTCAAAAATAACAAATTAGCTACAGCAGACCATGAGTAGGCCTCGTTAACCCTTAAAATGAGCCTTTCCATAGCAATATTTTTGACAAATATTACATTTTTTTGTAGTCTAACGGTAAGAAACACAAGGAGAAAATATTTCAAGAGAGCAAAACAGTCAATTCAAAAGAGCTTTAGACACCTGTGTGCTTATTAATAAGTCTGAATCTAGTCTTAAAGGGATAGTGCCCAAAAATGAAAATTTACAAAATTTACTTAACCTCAAGTGGTTTCAAACCTTGTTTCTATTTTCGGTACAACCCATACATTTTGAAAACCTGTTGATTCCATAGTAGGAAAAACAAATGCTACGCAAGTCAATGGTTCTGTTTCCAGCTTTCTTCAAAGTAGCTTATTTAGTGTTCAACAGAGTAAAAAAGATTTAAAACAACGAAAGGTTTAGTCAATTTTGCCAATAAAAGTTTTTAAGGGAACTATCAATTTAAGCCCAATTCACTTCACACAGACAAACACCAACAAACAAGTTGACCATGATCTGTAGAATGTTGTGAAAAATACTGTGTAGCATATATAGATGCCTAATTATATATAGTGCAATCTTATTGTTTGAAATCATGTGAAATTTATATAAAGCATATCAAACTTTTGAAAATAATAGCTCTAAATCCCAATATTCTTATTTTAAAAAATGTAAGACATTTGAAGTTTATAAATAAAACACAAATAACATTGTTATACAATACATAAAGCAATTCAAGACAATAAATAAAACGTTTGGAATGGTGTCCTTGGAGTGGCATATACAACACAGTAAAAGAAAATAAAAGAATAAAAAAATCTAAATAAATGAATAAAAACAGTTTAAAACATAATTCTGAAGCTCAATCCAGCATGTTCCCATATACAAAAGTTTACCCAGTTCCCAAATTAAAATTTTACTTGTTTTTGTTTTGTGACCAATGAGTGAGAAATGTTTGGAATCTCGGAAAACATATTTATTTTTACTGTGAATGATTAGACCGTTGACTTCTCCAAATGCACATATATTATAAAACCACTTTTATGTTACTATCATGTATTGTACCTATTATGAAACCAGCTTATTCTTTAGCCTATGTGGCCTACGTGACATATTTCGCTTAGCGACGCTGCTGCACAAGAATATCTTTCTTTAACAATTTGCGTTAATAAATTGTTCGCAAGACCGTGTACAGTATCAAGAACATGACCAGTCAATTCTGATGACGTTAGCATTCATTAGTGTGATTAATATCTCAGGGCGATTTCCAGAGAAAACTCTTTGGCCAGTGTAATCTGGCTCTTTTTGATTATGTAAATGTTCTGGCACAGATGCCTCAAACAGAACATAAATAGTGATACTGGAGTTGTATGATTGATTTATAATAGTATAGTTGAATAAGATGAAGGCTGTTCAAAAGGTTGGCTGTTTATGACTTTAAGACCTTACTTCTGAAAGATAAACGTTCGTGGCCTTCAAGAGAAATGACTCAACGCAAATTGTTGAGGTGCTGATAAAGCCAAAGACTTCTTTCTCAACCAGCCTTTTTACCGTATTATCGCTATTTAACTTAAATCTGTGCACATTACTGGAAATCTGACCTGGAAAAAAAAGTAGATAATGAAAGTAGGGTAATTTCCGTGTTAGACTTCCAAAGCTAACAAGATACAGAGATCACATACACTCAACAAAAGGGGGTTTGATATACCATAAGCAGAAGGATATATATGATCTGAAGCTGAAAATGTTCAAGCCGTCATTGGTTAATGATTGATTCCTCAGCTATACACAGTGTGTTTTTAGCAGCTTTCTAAAGAAGTTTATCACATTTGCTAGAAGATACTGTAGCTCAATATCATGTTGTTTCCTTGTTGATACACCCCAGAAATGACGTTCCAGGTAGCATTTGAGTAATTAACCTACAGCAACAATCATGTTTACAATACAGTTATTAGTGAAATTCATTTATTGTGATGGGGTTGATCATTCGTAAGTATGGGGATGTTTAAATTAATTCCTGAAAGTTACACTGTCACGTGGTCAAAAGTTAAAAACAAACAAAACAAAACAAAACAAAACATTGCAGTATCTGATCAATATGATGCTGTGCCGCTGTTCAAAATTGTATGCATTTAATGAATTCATTGTTTTTGCTGTTGCAAAAAAATTTTTTTTTTTTCTATGATACATTTCCAGTATATATATATTTTTTTAAATGCTGTAAGTAATTTAATTACTAAGTTTTAAGACCATGTGCATTCTTGTACTGCCATTTACCAGTAAATTTCAGTAGAAATCAGTTGAAATGTATGGAATTCCATTTTTGCCAAGTAAGAAGAAATATCAAATGGTCAAAATTATGAGAGGGAAAAGTAAAAATTATGGCTTTGAATTAGGGGTGTTACAGATCACATATGATCCGTGATTCATACGGATCACAACCCATGGGTCAGAACAAATATGTAAAAATGTTTTACAGGCAGATTAATTCCAAATTAGTAAGGGTCGCAAAGAAATAGTCTTTCACATTATTCAAATCACGTGTGTAAGCATTTAGGCTCTTCTGTAAAATATAATCATGACGGAAGAAGTTGTGGTAGATTATTCGGGATGTGGTGGGTTTCATTAAAAGTGTTTTCCATCACTATTTGTTTTGCCTGCATTAATGCATTCCGTGTAAGCTGCACGATTAATCATTAAAAGATCGGGATCTCAACAACCATTCATTTATTCATTTTCTTTTCAGTTTAGTCCCTTTATTAATCTGGGTTCGCCACAGTGGAATGAACCGCCAACTTATCCAGCATGTGTTTAATGGAGCAGATGCCCTTCCAGCTGCAACCCTGGGAAACATCCAGACACAACCATTTACACACATACACTATGGACAATTTAGCCTACCCACTTCACCTGTACTGCATGTTTTTGGAATTGTAGAGCACGTTTTTGCACAGCGAATGCCCTTTCAGCCGCAACCCATCCCTGGGAAACATCCACACACTCATTCACACTCATACACTACGGACAATTTAGCCTACCCAATTCACCTGTACCGCATGTCTTTGGACTGTGGAGGAAACCGGAGCACCCTGAGGAAACCCACACGAGCGCAGGGAGAACATGGAAACTCGCCACAGAAACGCCAACTGACCCAGCCGAGCCTCGAATCTTGCTGTGAGGCGACAGCACTACCTACTGCGTCACCATCTCAACAACCACATAACATAAATTATAAATGACGGTGATTTGCAAATGTTTATTAATCCTTCGAATCGCTGCATTCGTATCTGTTAGAAAAATGCAAGTATCAAAGTCTTTTGAGTTAGTTATAGTTTATAGTTTAGATTAAACCACTGATATTTATGGTAAACATTAAAATCACCATCATATGCATCACATGCACGACGTTCGAAAATTAAAGTTGTAGGTAGAACTTTCATTATTTTACCAACAGGTGGCAACAAGCAGTCATCAAAAATAAGCCACTGAATAATTCTTCAAAAATAACCCATCTAGCAATGAAACATGAAGTTTTATATGTGAATAACTGAATCATTTATTGATGATGAGACAAAAAATAAATACGGATTGTACAAATTATAATTTAATATTTATATAGTTAGCGTTATCAGTAACAGTAACAGTGAATTTTTCACATTACTGAATATTTTACAGTTTATTTTTATTCAGCTGATTATTTCTTCATGTTATTTTTAAATTAAATTACAGCTTCTAACTTCTGTGTTAAAACCAAAAGTGCCTTGCAGTACTGTTTCTGTAGTAAATGGAAAGCAAATTACATTTGTCTCATCTCTTTTTTGGTTGATCCAAAAAATGGTCCAATCTGTGACTAAAAAACCATCATATGATTCGATT